AGTCCAAAACAGAATCGATGATGACGGCAGCCCGGGTGGCAGGGTCAGCAACGACGTACTGCCATGTTGAAGTGCGTGGCTCGAAGCAGGCGTGGACTGTTGGCTCAGGGACAGAAGTCATCGTGTTCAGGGATGATGCGGTATGGTTTCTTTTGCTCGATGTTGTATTCGGGTTATGACGAAGCAGTGATGCTATTGATGGATATTGATGCATATGGGACAAAAGTACAGCGGACTGGCCACTTTTACGTCCCCTCAGGGTTCTCAACTCAACCAATGCCTGTCGCCACTTCCTCGAACCTTCCCTGCTATTCCTCTATTTTTTTTTTGTATCATGATCAGGTTGCCATAGTCGGCGACCTAGGAGGTCCCTCACAGAAAGTAAGACCGGAGCTGAAAAGTCATCCGTTTTGCAAAGTGGTGCTGCACATGACCGGGGAATGCCATAGAGAAGGGATGTTCTTCGGCCCTAGATATGGAAGCCCTCAGCCACATAGACGTATTGAACTTGCCAAATGGGCAAGCCGAAAAGGTCGCCGAAGACCTTATGCCCGAATATAAAAACGGGGGTGTCATCAAGGGGCTGGTATGTATCCTTCGGGTACCTTTCTGCAATGATACATTGTTGGTTGTATGTACTACGAGGTGGCCTAGCTCTGTAAGGCAGGATTGAAGCCGGTCCCTGGGCACATCTTTGTGTGTGGGTGCCTTTTGCCAAGAAAAATAACAACAAAGATGGATAGGATGCGCCGGAATGCACAGCAGGCTCGAATCCTGCCGGGCTTGATGTACCTCGGATGCACTTGGGTCGAGATGTGATGCGGCTGCAAGGAGTGCCCGTTTGGGTGGCCAGGGTCACCCTAGCGGCCCCTGTGCTTCTAGACGGCGACTTAGAATGGTTGTTGGAATCGCGGGTGGTTGTCGACATTAGGGTGGGTCACCGGGGTGGTTCGCCGTAGTGAAGTCGGCGAAGCTTGGCCGTGCTTCCTGGTTCCCCGGCTTTTCTTCTCGCTGAGGTTTGCTGGGCTTGCGGAAAGCTGACAGTGTCAAGGTCGGTCGAGATCGCCGACCAACAAACAGCTTACGGTCGGCTAAACGCCGTGACAGCTGCGTACCCAGTGTACCTCGTACCTGGTCCAAACATTGCGCTTCCGGTGGCACTCGACTGTTGCCCCCTGGGGGACAGACCCTGAAACTCTGGGGGGCATCAGCCGGCTCGGCTGGCCGTGTGTAACCAGCTTCTCGATGCAGAACGTATGGGATGGTATATCGAATATTGGTCGGATATCATAAAAGATAGCAACTACGGGCGAGGATCGTTATCTTTGGATCCCTAGCGCGCACCGGCCGAGTTAGTGCAATCAAAAGCGGCGAAAGGTGCTTCAAGGGTGTGCCCTGGGTGCTAACAGATTGTCCCCACAAGTTGTGTGGGCAGGTGCTAGCACCTCTTTGCATTCCACTTTTTGGGCGGAAGGTCTACCACACACCCTTTGACGATTCAGACGATTTGGGACCACACTCAATGGCGACCCATGTCGTCACGGCAGCGCCTCAAGCCCAAGCCCGCGAATCTGGGACATTTCGTAATTCTCGATGAAATGGCATGCAACGCCACCCCTGCCCCCCCCAGTTAGCCCCCGGGAAAGCACGAGAGGGAATGGGAAACCTTGGACGGGCGGGACATACCACCTGAACACCACCTGGACCCCGACCGTGCCAGCCAACTGCCTGCTGCCCGACTTGCTGCTCGTTGCTCACTCCCCGCATCCCACCATCACATCACGGCGAATTCATGGGGGCCGTCCATCTCTCCCTGCCTCCCTCCTCTTGCTAGTCTTAAAGAAAAAAAAAGACCGCAGGCTCATGTGATGATGCCCAATTCTACCTCTTCTTTGTCTTTCTGCGCGGCTTCATCTGCTGCTATATCATGAACAGTCCTAGAAAATACATTCTCTGACAAGAGAATATTGAGTTCTACCGAAATCAGATAACGACATTTCCAACATGGACAACATCATCTCTGGTGGTGTGTTTGGCGCTGGCTTGACAGCCTCGGGCATGTACCAGCCCGCGGTTATCATGGCCCAGCTCAAGTTTGAGAACTTCCACATGATCCAGGTGTTTCTGACAGCCACAGCCAGCAGCGCGTACGTATTCCGCACATCTATTGGCACATGCAGACCTTGACTAACACATCGCAAAGCTGTCTCGTCGCTGCTGCCCAAAGGCTCGGCTACATTCACCTCAAACCCCGCAGTTTCTCCTCGGTCGGCCTCTTCGCCCCTTATGACGGCAACATTATCGGCGGTTTCCTCCTCGGCTCTGGCATGATGCTTGCCGGCGCGTGTCCCGGCACCGTGCTGGCCCAGATCGGCGTCGGCGTGAGCTCTGGATTCTACGCCCTTGAGGGCGGCGCCATCGCCGCCATCCTCTGGTCTGGCTTCCTCCAGCGCACGATGCATTGCCCCGCCCCGGCGCTCCAAAACGGCAACGGCAAGGAGGCTGTGAAGAAGGAGGAGGTACTCACCGTTTCTCAAGGCCTCGGCGTAAGCCCTTCCACCGTCCTCCTCGGCTTCGAGGCCGTTTGCATTGCAGCCATATTCGCCGCCGCCTCACTCACCACCCTCGGGCCGGAGGCCAAGATCTCCCCCATCGCCGGTGGACTCTTGATCTGCACGGCCCAGCTTGTGTCTATCTTACTGCGTAAGAAGCTCATGGGCATCTCGACGTCTTTCGAGGAGGTGGGCGACTGGTTCTGGGGCGCATTCAAGGGTGACTCCCTACCTCGACATTACAACAACATTCTCTTTTCGACAGGCGCCGTCGCCGGCGCATTTGTGCTTGCCCATATTTTCCCTGCTGTGGCGCAGGTGACTGAGGTGACCATCTCACCATTTACCGCCAGTCTGGGCGGCTTCCTGATGATTCTGGGCTCTCGCGTTGCGGGTGGGTGTACGTCGGGTCATGGCATCAGCGGCATGTCGCTCATGTCGATATCGAGTTTCGTCACTATTGCCGCGACATTTGCGGGCGGCGCGCTGGTGGGCCTGCTTATGGGATAAGCAAAAGTAGACTGTACTTTCATTGTACAGCACACACGACACACAATATGCATGGGATACGCATGGGCGGCGTTGCGGATGCTTGGTTCTCGCCGTTATTACCAACCTTTTGGGTAGTCGTTCCGGAGGTCGCTCAGACTGTCAACTCCCAATCTTTATTCTTCGTATATAAGTTTTGGTAGAGGTTTTAGATGTATGTACATTACTTATTTATACCTGACAACTACTTGTTAATATGGATGCGCAGGTGAGACATGCACGAGGGATGCACGTCCGTTATTACAACCTTGTTCCGAGAGGTCGCCTCACACTAGCGTGCATGTGTCCAAATCGATTACATGTCAAGACAGTTCACCCTACTGAAGCTATCTCAACCTTTTCCTATCTGAGGCTTTCACCGCCAACTCGCTCGGGGTCCATGACCGCCTTTCGGCGAAGCAGAGGGCGGCAGAGTTTTAGCGGGACTGCTCAGACGTTTCGTCGGTCGGCGACCAAACGAGCAAATGGCAGCGAGGCTACGTGGTTCTGCATGGGCTCGACCGTTGCACTCAGGCACGGGAGCGGGCACAGGACGTCAAAAAAGGCGGCCCGGCCATATGAGACAGCCCCTATAACACCGGCACATATAGCCATAGGTAGGTAAAACTGCTGCTCAGCATCAGTGTTGATCGGTTCCGCCCCAAACCCCTTTCGTCAGTGGTGGTGTAACCATGGCACAAGCAAATATCAGCATTCCCCCGCAAAAGCGGCAGTGGTCCCGTTTCACGCACTCATCCAATCCAACATCACCATACCCGCCGCTCAGGCAACAGTTGCTTACCGCCCCCCCCCCCCCCCCTCTTCCCCTCTGTTTCTTATCCCGATGTGTAGGTGGGTTGGTGGAATAAACCAAAGCAGCACCACCGTCTCGACCCCCTCGCTCCCGACTTGTCCCGCGCGCCGCCGCACCGCCGTCACTTCGATCTCAATCCGCATCGCCTCCTCCATCAGCCCCGCCTGCAGCATCGTTGCGGCGGGGCGGACTGTGCCCAGCCACTTCTGGAGGATCGGGAAGGTGAGCGGGAAGTCGTTGCGGTCGGGCACTGGGGGAAGGGGGGACGGTTGGTTTTGGGGGGTGTTAAGGGGTGATTATGGGATGGTGGAGGGGGGGGTACCCAGCCGGATCAAAGACTAGGTCGCCACTGATGACGGCGCGGGAGTAGCCTATTTGCGCTTCGAAGGGAGAGCCGGAGCTGATGAGGGTCCGGGGAGCCATGGTTGGGTGGTGGGTAGTTGGTTTGTTAACTAGTCCATTGGGAAAGGGGGTGCGGGTTCTATGAATGAATAGCGGTAGCTGATTTATAAACGGTGTCACTCTTGGAAGTGAGTCACTCTATAAACTCTAAGACCGTACGTACCGATCTATACTTGGTCTCTGGAGTAGCAGGGGCCTTGGCAGCCACTAAGTCAACTTCATCTTGATCACCTTGTTTTTATCCATCCGTCACTTATATCAAGTATTTGCAAGTACCATTCGAAGCAATCATGACATGCCAAGGTGCGTTGAAGGCAACCAAAAAGGGGAGCAGAGACGGGATAGCGGTTGCGGCCTAACACACACAACCAACCGAGATGAGAACCGCTTTTCCTAGGTAAAAAGCGGCATTTACCAAAAATAAGAGGTTCTGGTGAAGAGTCATCTCTGACACCAAGACCAAATGTGTCTCTCCCCCGGGTGGGCTTGAACCACCAGCCTCCAGATGATCTGTTGGATAACAGTCTGACGCGCTAGCCAATTGCGCCACGGGGGATTGCTGCTGTAGTTGATGTTGAAATGCCAGCAAGAAAGTGTTGGTATAGAGCTTCTCGCTGTGGGAGAAGCATAAATAAAGCAGCATTTACCAAAAATAAGAGGTTCTGGTGAAGAGTCATCTCCGACACCAACACCAAATGTTGTCTCTCCCCCGGGTGGGCTTGAACCACCAGCCTCCAGATGTCATCTGTTGGGAAATAACAGTCTGACGCGCTAGCCAATTGCGCCACGGGGGATTGAGGCTATTGATGAAAGGCCGAGTTTGAAATGCATGTATGTAGATCGTGGGAGTGGATTTCGTTGCAAAGTCCTTGCCAAGCGTTGTATTCTGGTGGAGACTGGATAGGGGGCCAGCTTTAACTTAGACGAAGATCAGGGACGACCAGCCACCGTTTCACAATGAGGAAAAAGTCCGCCGAGAAAGAGTCCACGACAACAACAGCGCAGCGGTTCTCGAAGACGACACCAACAATAGTCCAGCCTGGCCTGCAACGCCCCGTGAAATTGACTTCACATGGGGCATATGATGATGCCTTTCAAACATATTGCTATGCAGGCTACACTTCATGTCTCCTCCCCACTATGACAAACATACCAATCATCCATCACGTTCCGTAGAATGTCTTCTACTGATAAAAAAACTTAATACCGCAAACAATACGCCTGCCCCCTTACCTGTCCACCTACCCACGCGCGCGCCCAAGTAAGCTCACATCGTGCTCACATTTCCCGCTCGTGACCAGGTAAACATTTTCTGCCTCATAACTCCGTATAAAGTAGCCAACCCTAGTCCGACCTCAAAGCAACAATAGGGAAGCAATGGATATGGTTTTATCCCAGCATCGAGTGTGCTCGAACAGCCTTGGGACCAAACTCACTAAGCAAACGGTCAGCTCATATCAAGGCAAAAAGGGGTGCACTTACTTATACTCCACCCGGCTCAAACTCATCAGTCGCTGAGCCTCCACGCCCTGGGCGTCTAGGTTGTGGATGCAAAATGCGAGCCTAGCTGCTACCTGTGCACCTAGAAACATGGCCTCCTCGAACCCATTCTTGGTCCACTCGCTCAAGTAAGTGGGGAGAGGCGCCAGCTTGATATTCGTCGGCGTCTGGCTGTGGAAGTGATGGCTCACACCGCCGCCCGCGGCATCGCCGGCAGTAGACCCGGCGACATTAGCGCCAGGGGTTGTACCGGGGACGCCACCGGGTACGCCTAGGTTTGCCGTCGTCGCCGCCTGCAGCAGCGGGTTGACGTTGCTAGTCGTGGGCAGCTGGTGAGGAAGTCCGCCCGCGAAGGAGCTGGTGGGCGTCTGCGAGCCCGTACCAGAAGGGGTGCCGATGTTAGAGGGCAGCTCCGAGGTAAACATTGTTGCTGAGCTGGGTGAGACAAGGTGCCGCGCTTGAAGCGTCTGCAAAATATTGTCCTTAAGACCGCGGACGCGCGTGCCGTTACCCACAAAAACAATGTTCTCCCAGCACTGCGGCCGCATGTACATGTCCTCAATGTTCTGCACGGCGCGGTAAATGGCTGTGACGATGCGGTCGATTTCGTCACGATCCGCAAATAGGAAACGCTCCAAGCCGATCTCGATGTCACGCCGCACGCGCTTGGTTTGCCTCTCTGTTTGTATCGCGACTTCAGTACCCGGAGCGGCCTCTGTGGGCGGCTGTGCTTCGGTCTTTGCAGCATCTTCGCCGCCAGAGGGTTGCTGCTCGTTTGACTCGGGTTTCGGAGCATCGCTGACCGCGGTCACCCCACCCTCTGCTGTTGTTGCTGCTGGTACGCCGGCATCCCCGGTATTAGCAGCTCCATTTTCCTTCGGTGCTGTCGCGATTGGCACATCCTCAGTAACCACATCCTCAAAATGAAAAATATTGCGCGTCCTCTTTGAGTTGGGCAACCGGAGTGCCCTTGCCGCCGCATCAGCAGCTTCCTTGTCTGCCTTTCCTTTCCGCCCTACCTTTGCCTTTTCTGCCTTTTCCTTCTCCTTCTTCGCCAAAAACTCTCTCGTCTGTCCGCTCACAACTAGACTGGCCACATCGAGAACACCCTCATCGTCGACCACCTTGTTGCCATCAGCGTCGAGCGCTGTATCCTCCGGTTCGAGGATTCTTGGTGCATCGGTAGGCGAAATGTCGGACTCCGGCAACTCCATTAGCTCGGGCGTTTCGGGCACGTATGGAAGCACTTCACAAATGGGGCTCTTCTTCAGCTGCTCGGCCATCTCGTGGCTGAAATCCTTGCTCTTTAGCAATGCCTGCAGCTTGCGTGTAAAAACCTCGCCGCCGCTGATGTAGCGCCCATCATCGGTCGGGTACCCACCAATGTCAACATGCGACACAACACGGCTATCGTATATGCACGTCACATCAACCTTTTCGAACCCGACGTCAACCACCGTCATATGGGGCCACTTCAGTCCGTACTGGGTCGCGATACCGCTGTGGATCAGGCACAGGGCAGGAGTCTTGGTCTGCTCGAAGACGTATCCGGCAATCGTCTCGCAATCGGGGCGTGTCCATTGGGGCGATGCCATCAAAATGACAGGCGTGTTATGGTACGTACTAGTGAGCTCGCTGTGGACGTATTGGAGGAATGCGAGGAAGGCGGCCATGTTGGTGATGCGACCGGCTGCACCAGACACCCCGCGTCAGCGACTATTCACCCATTACGATAACTTGGCAACGGCACAGCGACTTACCCTGGATGGGATACACAGCGTCCTCGACCGAGTCTGTGTCCTCGACCCACTCCCACTCGTCGTCGCCCTTCGCGCCGGCGCCATTGGCCGCCGTCTCCTTCTTGCGCTTGAAAGTGTGGAAGGGGGCCCAATTACCCGACTCCTCGTCCTTGAACATACGCGTGGGAAACCGGCGGGCCGGGGGGGTGAGCTCGTTGCAGCCCAGCTGGGCCATGGTGGTCTGGCTGCCAGGGCAGATGACGAGGATCTGCTCCTCGCGCCATTTGCCTGTCTGGCTCGACATGGCGGGCAACGGGATGTGGAGTGATGCTGCGAGCTGACGGATGATATTGCGATGTTTGGGCTCGGCTGTGCTAAAGTCAATTTGGTCTGGTGTTGCGACGGGAGCTTGTGCTGTCGAGCTTGTCCTGCGACACCGTGTAAATTCTCGAGGAGCTGGGCTGCGCGCGCGCGTGGGAAACACGAAATTCTGGGAAGCTCGGTCTGCTTACGTAATACAGACAGTGCAGAATACAGTACCACACTGTGTGTTGCTCAGGGTTCTCAATAATACACCTTCTTACTACCTGCCCATTTCTACATACAGAGAAATACAAATCATTATAGTCTTTCCCAAAGAGATAACAGGCATACTGCCAACGCCTCGATATTGAACATAAAGAGTTACTAGGCGTTCGCAGGCAGAAAACCGAATGAGAGCCCATCAGCAAGGAAACAATGGACACGAGTTTTTCTTGTCAAGTGGCACTGGCTGTGATTCCATCTGTTTTGTTTGCTGAAGCAGCCTGGAAACCCACAAATTGACTGTTTGGTATGAGCATCGAGGAAAGCCGTTGCTGGATCCTGATACCCCTTTTAATATCCCGCATCAACCACTACCCGCTATGCTGTCCTATGTAGATACACAATGCAATACAACACAACATCAAGGTACCTACTGATGAGCCAAAAAAAAATGAACCCCATAACCCCTTTGCCTTTTCGACCCATCCCACCTCAAATAAGTGTCCCATATTATACAAGTACAAGTTCTACGAAGAAGTCGCATACTTCAGCAAACGTCGGCAACCTCCCCCCTCGCAGGGCGAGCTCTATGCTTTTCTGCCCGGACTGCACCGCCAGGCCCGTCTCGAGAAACGCCTTCTCGGCTCCAGATAGATCGCGCTTCTCCGTCTCTAGCCACTTGCGCTCAGCCTCCTCCTTGGCCTGCTGCAACACCTTCTCTGTGTCCTCCGTTTCCCAAAGATTGCACTTCCTGCACTGGGTGCACGGCCTCGGGTCGCCTTCGGGACGGAAGTGTTCGCAAAAGTGTCTGTAACCCACATCGGGTCCGTCTCCGGTACCGCCAATGTCCCTTCGACACACGTAGCACATCTTGTACCCGCAGGGACACGTCAGCTTGTTGCAGCCAGCGTTCTTGACAAACGACGTATTGCAGCGCGGGCAGACGCGTTTGATGGCCATGCTCATGTTCTGCTCTATCTGAGTGCGCAGGGCGACGAGCGAGGATTCGTTGCAGACGTGTACATCTACCCATTCCTTGCCACAGCTTAAGCACGAATCCCGAAGGCATTCGTCGTTCTCGCACTTGAATTTGAGACCGCGTCGGCGTCGGCGGTGGCGCGTGAGCGCGTCTCGGAACTCCTTGGTGATGCGGTCGCCGATTACATGTTTGGAGCTAGCCAGCAGACCAACAAAGCAGACAGCGGTGATGATTGGGAGAAAGAAGGGGATGGTGCAGATGCAAAGAACAATGAGTATGAGGTTATAGATGTTGTGTGCTCGGAGACGTAGCTCATCCTCGCTCACTGGAAGGTATATGTCATCCACCTCGGCATACTCGCAGAACGGGCAGCGGACTAGCGGGAGCCCGCTGGATATGATGCTGTGATCCGCAAGACGCTGGTCAAGTTTGTGCATGATTTCAGCGCCGTTCTTCTCTTCAAGCATAGCCCGGTGGGTGTGGTCCTGCGGAATGCAACCTTTGCACTCTTGTGACGCCACCGCTGGGCATCTCAGAGTGCCGGTTTCCTTGTCGATGCTCCGCTGCCAGCCCTGCCCGAATACGGCTTCTGTAATGGAGTGCTGTACGCAGCGGAAGCAAATCATGTGCCCCTCGGCATTGCATGAGGTAAACTCCTCAAACGCGGCCTCAGTGAAGCAGCAGGCGCATTCGAATGTGCCATCTGCCTCCTCTGCCTCCTTGTTGTTGAGGTCCACGGCAATGCGGCGGTCTTTCAGTTCCTGCTCGGTGCGAGCGCGTCTCTTCAGAGGTATTATCAGCTCATGGTACAGCTCGCGATCCAGCTCGGAACTCCCTGTCGACTTGATGCAGGGCAGGATGGACCCGCGACCCGTTGACTTCCAAATCACCAACGGGTGAGTTTCGGCCTCGTTCGACGTGACGGGCTTCCGTCGCATGAACAAGGCAGAGATGGTAAAGCGCCAGGACTTGGAGGATAGTTGTACCAGTGATTGGCGGGCTTCAAGATAGGAGTAATTTGACTCGGCAAGGACAGCGTTGATGGTTGATC